CCCCTTCCTCCGACTCTCACTAGACTTGACGGCTTTTAATTTTGCATTTTGTCCCTTCCCTTTCCCAGCCGACGACCTCACGAGTGCAATTGCATCGTCACTTTATGTGACCGTCACTTTGCGCAGTGCTCGGGTGGTGTCTCGGAGCAAGCGGATCTTCCCTTCCTCTAATCGTCTCTCCCAGTCCCGTGGGCAGAAAGTCGGACGCGCTTTCTGACCGTCCCATCGTCGTCGCCGCCGTCGTCGTCGTCGTCGGTGGCCAGCCAGCTAGCCAGGGGGGGTCGGAGCGCGGCCAAAACGAGCGCCAAACGGGGTCCAAAGGGGTTTAAATGGACCTCAATCCGAAAAGTGTCGTCGTCGGCAGCGACCGACCACGCGGCCCGCCGGGACGCTCGACAGCCTTCAAAGCGCCCAAAGCGGTCCAATCGAGCAGAGCTGCTCAGATGATTTGCTCCGCTAGCCAGCGGCGAAGAGGCCAGGCGGCCGCCAAGCCCCGTCGCGGAATGGGGACAAACTACTTCTACCCGCCCACCCCTCGTCCGCCACATCACCATTCGCAATCCCCCTTTACTCACCTTTTTGCCGTCCAGCTCGTGTGTCGCCTGCGTGAGGACTTTGTCTACGCTGGAAGGGTCGGCGAATGTGATGAAACCAAACCCCCTGCAACAGAATGAAAGCATACCGTGAGAATATTTTTATTTTCGTGACGTTTTGTTTGCAAATATCGTTATACCGCGAGCGTAAGGGCGCGGCGAGGCGGAGGAGGAGGAAGAGGAAGACGGCGTCGGCGACGAGGAGGCGTCAAGGGCGGCAAACAAACACGGCTTTGACCACCGAGGCACGCGAGGGTCCTCTCGGCGACCAGATAAGGGGGGAGGGGAGGGGGAGACAAGGTGAGAACGGAAGAGAGGAGCGAAGGGCGGGGCGTGGCGGGGCGCGGTGGGGAGCGGCGGGGCGCGGCGGGGCGGTAGGATAAAGTGGAGGGGAGGGGGCGAGTCGGACAGCGCTATCCATCAGCGCCACGGTAGACGCCAAGGCAAGTTTGTTGGCGTCCGTCCCTCGCGAGGCACACGCTTAGTCACTGCTTCCCAATCCCGCCGCGCCCCGCCGGGCCACGCCCCGCCCCACCAAGCCGCCCCGCCCCACCCCGCCGGACACCAGAGCTTAGGGCCGAGTACCACAGAGCGGAGCTCACCGTGACAGAGTGAGGACGCGTTTAGTGGAAACACTCCCCCGGCGCAAGCAAGCACACGCAGGCTTTGGCCCTCACAGGAGAGTAGGAGGGGAATGTTGTTTTGTTTTTTTTTACTTAGCACGCAGGTAACAAACTTCTAACTGCTTTCGTTTGTTTTCCTTTTTGTAAAGTTGGTATTATTATTTTTTCTACTCGGGTCTGATAGACATGGTAGGTATAGAGAGCGACGAGATCAAAACGACTGTGGCAGAAGCGACCCCCTCCAACTCCTCTACCCTTTCCCCCCACCAGCTCAACATAATCACATTTGGCGGCGAAACTTCACCTCTACCCCCTGCCACCCTAGCGCTCGCGTCAGGGAGGGAAAGAGAGAGAGAGCGCACCAACACCCCATCACCAGCGTCACCATCACCTGCTTCACCAACACAACCACTATCACCTTGAGTAACAGACAGACTTCTCTGATAAGGACCACGATTTCCTTTCACTCCCCGAGCATGGATGGAAAGGGGCTGAGCCTGAAGCCGACCGCTGATAAAGAAATACACATACACACAACCTCACACATGCGCGCCCATACACACACACACACACACACACACACATACACCACGCCGCGCTTTCAAACGCGCTGGCACAAAAGCACCACCCTTTCCTTTCCACGCACGTCCCAATCAGTCTAAAACCTTGTTAAATCCCGCCCAGCCAAGCATTTTACCGCAATTTCGCAATGGACTGGGGCAGGAAAAAGGAGTATCTCTTTTCAAGTATAGAGTTTCGCGGTTTCTCTCGCAATCTGGAATTTTGTCGGACGCTTTCAAGCAGACGGTCAGCCTGGCTGCAAAACGGCAGAAACTGGCTGAGAGCGGGGGCGGCCGGGCACTCTCAAACTAAAGCGGATTCGCGCAGAGCTCCGACTTGAACCGAGTTTGCAGATTTCTCTACGTTCTATATCCCCTAATTCCGTAACACAACTCAGAGCACACATATTAACGGGGGCGGAGCAGCAGGCGGGGGGCGGACTACGAAAATGGG